TGGGCTGGCAGCAGCTGGGCTGGCAGCAGCTCTCCTGGCCACAGCCCTGCTCAGAGCAGACGGAGCCACAACAGGAGTTGACCATGGTGTCGGAGGTTGGAGGTGCTGGGTGAGTTTCCAGGACAGTGAGGCTCTGGAGTTTGGAGTCTCCTTGTGGAACAACCTTTTATACCCTTCCCATTTTCCTGTCATTAATATGTTTTCCTTGTTTTTATTTACTGAATACCTACGTAATTATTAAACTATGCAATAGTGTTTGTACTTTTAGTTGTATAATTTGTTGGAAATGAAATCTTTGTCCAGTTGCAATCAATTCTCCTGATGTGCTTTTCCCCCTGACTTGTACTGAATGGCATCTAGCAGACCACACTTGTCACTTCTTCCACCAGGGCTGTCACGTGAGGCTTTGCCTCCACAACTCCATCCCTCACACTCTCCTCCCAGATCCCCACCACCAGGGCAATTGGCCACTCATATTTCCAGAAATCTTCCACTGACCAATGGGGAGGGAGTCCATGCACTTAGGGTGGTGTCCGCTGGGATAGGAGGACAAAGCTCTTGTGTGTGGGTCATCCCTGAGCAATGAGGAAGCTCTCCATGCATGTCATGTTGGTGACCTCTTCGTCCCTGGAATGGCTTTCCCTGGATGTGTCCTGGGCTCAGTCCTTAAACTTCGGTCAGGCAACTTATCTGTGTAGATGTGACATCAATTCCACATTGTTTCTTAAACTGCTACTTTGCTGTCTTGTGTGCTTATATCCTGTCTCTCCATCTGGCCTCTTAGATTCTGGGACATTTAATATCATTTTTACCTCTTATCTCATTAATTAAAAGTATTTCACGAGTAGAGCCAAAAAATTTTTTTTGAATAATCAAAACCTGCATCTCTTCAGAACTTACTCTCAGAGCCAGATAATCCATGAGCGCATTTAGGGTCACTCTGAAATGCCAGTGGATTTTAATAAATTCCACCTCACTGAATTCCAGTCTTCTTATCCTCTACTTGGGGTGCACTTTGTCAGACACTGGTGGCCTATGCATCCCTGAAGCGCCATTTGGGACCTTTCTGGTACAATGTAAACGTTTTCGTAAATGTTCTGTGTCTCACATCCATCTCCTGTGTCCTGAGCATCCACCCCGGTCATCTAGAGGCTTGTGAATCCACAGGTGGCTGGGCATCCCCCAGAATTTCTGAGTATTGGGGGAGCCTCGGGCCCTGGATTTCTAATGAGCACTCAGAGATGCTGACACTCGAGTTCTGAGGGCCACACCGGGAGACCTCCTGCTTGCTCTATTCATTAGATACCAAGTTCCTGCGTTGTTTAGAAAGCTGACAGATTGAATAAGTCATCTAGAGACACCTATTGCCAGTGCTGGGGTTAGAAGTGCAATTTAGGCTGGCAATGTAGCTCAGTGGCACTGCGCCTGCCTTGCAAGTGCAAGGTCCTGAGTTTGATTCCCGGTACCGGGGCGGGGGGCGGGGGGCGGGGAGAAGTGCAATTTAGTCTCCTCCTGGGGAGGAGGTGGGGGAGCAATGTCAAAGCAGCTCCTGGTTGTGCTATTTCAGTGAAAACCATTGTGCTCGTAGGCAGTAAACAAGTTAACACGTTAAATATATTCCAACATTAACATTTCTCATCAGGTTTTACTCTTCACGATCAAGTAAAATTCACATGCACTGAAATGGACACCTGCTAAGTTTATTGAATGAGTTTTAACAAATGGATACATCTAGCAAACTTCCCTACCTGTGAAGAGGCACATTTACATTTACATTATGACATTTAGTTATACCAGAAAGTTCACGACCGTCGCAGTGAACCCCTCCAACAACAGGCAGTGAGTACAACTAATAATTAGTTGTAACCTAGAATACAAACAGCTGGTACATAGTACAATTTCTTTTCTGTCTGGCATCTTTAGTCTGGCATATGTCAGAATTTCTGTGTTGATGCATAACTCCCAAATTCCTTCAGAGCTGCACTAATGAGCACCAACCCATCCATTTAATTATCTAACCAATTTCAGGGCAGGATGACCAACTATCCGTGACTGCTTAGCACTGTGGGCATTCCAGAACCCAAGGCTTCCATTGTAACAATTAGGAAGAGCCAGGAAACAACAGAGGAGTTGCTAATCCTAGGATATCATCCTTAATTTAATTAAGACCGTGACTCTTGCAATAATTGCATCACACTAAACTGCTTGGCAAATGCTTGATTTACATGTTTCTATTTTATGTGCTGCTGCTTGCAGAGCTGGAAAATATGAAAGATATCAATAGTTAGATTATGAGGCCAGGTGATACCTGGAGTGGGAGGGTCTCACTGGATTTGCTGTCGATGAGGAGCTAGGACGAAATCACAGCCTCAGGCCAGTGATTCTCAAAGTTGCTGCATGCAAACATCACCTGGGGAGTGACGGAAATTGTCTGCCCCTGGTTTCTGCCTCAGAAATCTTGATTTCTTTGGTCTGTGGTCCGGCCTGGGATCCAGGGAATTTTTTAAGCTCCTTTAGATAAATCTAATGGGCAGCCAGGGTTCGAAACCCACCCCTTTAAACTATCTGTACTGTGTGCTTTTGTATAAGAATAAATTAGAACAAAAGTAGCTAAAATAATTAAAGTATAATTGTTGGTATCTAAATAATAGAAAATGATGCAGAATTTGAAACGCAGAGCTCTGAGTATTGCAGACAGAAACACTGATGGTTATCTCCACTCTTTAGGTCACTTCAACATCCAAGTCAACAATCCCACCTCAGGGTGCCCATTCAGAAGCTCATGTGACTGCAGAGTGCACACGTCCCTTGCCCTGTTCTCCAGTCCTGTCCTCAGCTCTCGGGAGCAACGTCATCTGGAGCTTTGGGCCCGACCACACCCTCTGCTCCTGTCGCAAGTGGCCTGCAGCTGCTGGGACGGAGGAGGAGAGCAAGGCGCAGCCCCTGGCCGCTAGAAGCAGCAGATCTCAGCGGCCACACCCCAGATGAGGTAAAACCACTGAGCCACATTTTGGCCCTGATGCTTCTACCTTTCTGACTTGCTTCCTGCGGTTTCTTCCAGATTTGTCCTGTAAGGATTAACTCACGAGACTTTTGAACTGAATCCCTGTTTTAGTTTCTACGTTTAGTGAATTCGACCAAGCACACCCGCATACAACGGCAATCCTAACAGTCACCTTCTGGGTGGGAAGCACTAACAGCGCCACTGTTCCCGGCTGCGGGTGCACTAATGTGACCCAGAATAGGAAGGAGGAGGAGAAGGGAGAAGACTAGATAAGAACAGTGCTAAAGCTGCAGCAGCAGCAAAGTGCTCAGAAGATTTTCCAGGTTAGCGCACAAAAACCCAAGAGTCAATCTTGATGCCCTGGCAGCCACTGCTTCCAAACGGAACCGGGCTGGAGGGCAGCGACCCCGGGAATAGGAACTCGGGTGAGTTAGACCTCCTGTACTCAGGACCAACCCATATACAAGGGTTTAAGACCCAGTGGTTTTTTAGGAAATGAACCCTGGAAGTGCTGCAGAAATGAACTTGGGAAATGTCCAGGACCAGGAAGGAAGCCAGTGTGGGTGACACAATGAGCAGAGTGTGGGGGGCAGCTGTGGCCTAGTCCCACTGAGGACTTGTAGGAGGTGCTCTTGCTGGAGGGGAAGTGAGCGAGGGTATTTGCTCACCAACCCCATGGCACTGGGTGAGCTCTGATCCTTCACTGTCCTGCCCAGAGCTGGGTCCTCAACCAGAGAAAGTCCCCAGGCAGAGGGCAGGTGCTGCTGAAGACCCAGCTGTCCTGCTGTATCAGAGGAAGAGCACTGTGGGACACAGCTGGCCAGCCTGAACCCAACTGCCATCTTCTCCTTATTCCTTAGGGATGAGCTACAGATAAATGGACAGAGAAAGACAACTGAGGAAGGGAAAGTAAAGAGGTGCAACAGCTTTATCTTTATGTGACTGCAAAAATTAGGATTTATTGAGATATGGAAATATTTCCATGTAAGAAAATATGACAGAGCAATTTTTTTAGAGCAAATATTTTGATGAGGGTGACGTAAGAGTCGAAAGATTTCAGAGAAATTTCAAATCGTCTTCATTTGAGAGAGATTAACTTGGTGGATAAGGGACAGTATATGTGGAGCCCAAAATCACCCCAGGTGGAACTGAAGCTTTGTAAAGGCTCCACATGACTCAGCTGCCCCATGGACTGCATCGGGGCTGACTGATGGTGAAGAACAGGAGCGGGTAGGGCAGAGCACTCAGCAGCAAGAAGAGCTAGAGCAGCTAGGGTGGCAGCAGGTGGTCCGGCAGCAGGTGGGCTGGCAGCAGGTGGGTCTGCAGCAGATGGGCTGGCAGCACTGGGGCCTGCAGCAGATGGGCTGGCAGCACTGGGGCCTGCAGCAGCTGGGCTGGCAGCAGCTTGGGCGGCAGCAGCTGGAGATGCAGCAGGAAGGTCTACAGCAGCTGGGCCTGCAGCAGCTGGGCTGGCAGCA